GTAAAAAAGGAATGAGAAAAGTACAAAGATAAACACTTGAGAGGAAAAAAAAAAAGAGGAACACAAATTTGATTGGAGGAAAGAAAAGTGGAGAAAAAACCCAAGTTATTGGAAATGCTGCTAATCGAACAGTCGTAAGATTTTCCTGGTGCATAGCTGTGATTTACACAGAATTTTCAGGGCAAGTCATGCTTTTCAAAGGCCCACAATATTCATTGCCTAAACAGATTTCCTTTCTAACCTAACAGCATATTCCAAATTAGAACATACATTACATGTATGTAATATATGTCGTCCTTTGAATAGCACCTTGACTCTTATTTGAAGAAAAAGCCCATTGTTATCCATACTTGTTTTTCAGTTGGACTAAACTGAATCACCATAACCTTTTTAATCATATAGCAAAGGAATTATTTTTCCCAATTTAGTACATTCAAAATTCTACAGTGGTAGTTTTCTTCACGTATTCTGACACTGCCCTGTAATAAGCACGATTCTAAAAAGGAACACCAGGGAAAGTTAATAATGATAGATTTTACCTGTGTGTTGTACTTAAGAGGCAAACCCACAGAATGTTTAAAGATGGATAAATTCACATTTGACACAGGAGCACTATAAACCACAGGAAAAACAGCGAAATGGATTCTCTAAGAAATCAGGCTTCAGTTCAGAATTCTGGGCTTGCTCCACTGAACAAAACAGGCCAGGAAGAGCCAGAACTAGAAAACAAGTCATCTTACTACAGGCACACAAGAAGATAACGGGATGCCAGAATGACAACAGGTCAACATCCCAGAATGAATGCTTAATAACTGAGGACACTTCAGAATACCAGAGAAATCTATTCTGGGCATAGTTATCTTCAATAGTGTTTTGAATTTTTTCACTAATGAGTATGTTTACAAAATCTGCAGCTGACACAAAGCTAGTGGGAGTTAGTGTGTACCGCAGAAGAGAGGATTGGAACTGAAATGGATGTTGAGAAATTGCAGAGGCTAAGAAACTATTAAGATAAAATATAAAAACATCAATGTAGAGTGTTATTCTTGTAAAAAAATACACACAGAACTGGGACTATTTGCTTGGGAAGTACAATGGCAGCCTGAAAAGAACAAAGGGAGAAAGAGATAGCACCGTGTGCTTCTCCTCTCCTGTAAAATATGACATCAAATCAAACTCTAGAGCTTTAGAGACTACAGAAGAACAGATCTTTGCCCAAGCAGGATCCCCTAGGGCATAGTAATCAGAATTTCGTCTAGACTGCTTCTGAGTACTTCAGGGAGACTTCACAACGACTCTGGGCAGCCTGCTCTAATGCTCAATTAGGAGAGAATTTCTTCCTCATGTTCAGGTAGATGTTTCTATGTTCCAGTTTCTGCCCATTACTGAGCATTACTATGAAGAAGTTGGCTCCCTTGTGACCACCTGCCAGATATTTATACATATTGATGTGATATTCTTTCAGTCTTCTCTTCTCCAGACTGAATAGGCCCTGTCCCTCAGCCTTTTTGCATAACTGGGATGCTCCTGCCCCCATCTGTGTTGCCCTCCGCTGGACACGCTCCAGGAGCTACATGCCTCTTGTCCTGAGAAGCCCAGTGCTGGACACATGAATTTCAGGCAGTTCCCTTCTGCCCACCTCTTCAACCTGTTGAAGTCGTTCTGAAGGGTTGCACAGCTATCTGGGGCATCAGCCACTCCTTCCAGCTTTGTGTTGTCAATGAACTTGCTGAGGAGGCATCTGCCCCTTCATCCAAGTCACTGATGAACAAATTACTGGACCAGCACTGAACCCTTGGGGACATCAATAGAGACAGGCCTCCAACGAGACCCTGTGCCACTGATTACAACTCACAGGGATCTGCCCTTCAAGCTCAGGAAATATGGGCTGGATGAATGCACTATGAGGTTGCAGTGAGAACTGGCACCTCACTGTCCATTCATCCAGCCCACATTTCCTGAGCATGCCTGCAAAAATAACACCAGAAGCAGAGTCAAAAGCCTTGCTCTAAGTCCAGGTAAACATTCACTTATCTTCCCTCTCAGCACCCCAGGTAGCTGTCTCAGCATAGAGGGCAATCAAGTTGGCTGGGCATGCTGACTACTCTTCATCATCTTTGTGTCTACCACATTTGTGGAGGTGACCTCCAGGATGAATATGAGACCAATTGGACTGTAGCTCCCTAGGATCTCCTTCTTGCCCCCTTTGAAGACCAGGGTGGCACTTGCTTTCCTCCAGTATTGTGGCACCTCTCCTGACTGCCATGACCTTTCAAAGATCCGAAAAGTGCCTAGCAATCATGTCTGCTACTTCCTTCAGCACTCATAGGTGTGAAGAAACCCATCAGAGCCCATGGAATTGTGGATGGCAAGTTCACTTCTTTATGATTTCCCTGGACATGTGAAACAACATTTTTCTCCTGTTTTGGTTTTTATGTAGAAGCCTGAGCATAAAGCCATCTTCTTGGAATGTTATAGTTTTAGCCCTTTTTCACTGGCCACTCAAGATAAAGCAGCTGGATTCTGTTAAGAACTAGAAGGAATACTAAAAAATAGTATTTTCTGCTATTTCTGTTGCACTGAGTGCAATTGTTTCTGGCAGGCAATTGGTAGCAAACACAGAAATAGCACCACTAACTGTTACAGTAGGGGCTTTAAGGGGTAATGGTGAGATTGCTGTGAACATCTGCAACTCCCTGATGGTAATGACCTCCTTTTGGTAGAAGTGTCCCTGCAAAAATACTACTGATACATCACTTTCTAAACAGACTTATTATATTGGTATCATTCTTCACATAAACAAGCTTTAGTTCCACAACAACATATCTAGCTAGTCAAAGACATACCTCTTTTTGTAGTGGTACCTTACCCAGTTTGAAAATTTTACATGCTGTATTACCTTCAATGGTTGCATCCAAACAATTATTTCAAGTTAAGGGCCCACATGTTTTCTTCCTTTTGCTATGTTAGATAAATTAATAGGGGGCAACAATTTTATCCTATAGCATGTGATTATTCATCATGTTTACATATTTGTTATGCACAAAACTTCAGCTACTTAGGTTTCATAAAGGAAAGCCTTACTGACCCTTCCAATTAAGGTTTTCATATCAGGTGAACATGCCTCCCTTGACAAAAAAATCCCATGTTTCCCATCCTCTCAGTATAGATTACAATGAGATTCAATCATACTTCATCAAAACATAAAAAGAAAAAGCCTTCAGACTGACACTAGCAACAGACATGTTCACGCTCTCAGAAAATGAAATCAGCTGCTGCAACCTTCCCAAAATAATCATTAACTAAATATAGCTGCATCTATTCTAGAGTCAAGAGAACTTTTTTCTTTTGCCTAAAAGATTAACTTATTTCTTTTTCTTCTCTGTATGCTTTCAAGAATGGCGTGACCTGGTTTAGAACGGTTTGAGTGTTGTTGAATCCAGCAAACAGTTGTGCTCTCTTGAAAGAAAGCTTCCCCTCCATTACTTAATGTTTGTTTTCTCTTCTACAGAGAGAAAAGGCAAACAGTCCTCAGATTTACGCTGGGGGATGGAGGAGGAAAAACAAACCACAAACGCAAATGACTGCTAATGAGAGTTTCAGTATTAAGGAAAAAAAAAAAAAAATCTCTTTACTCATTTCATTTCCATTAGCATAATTTTCCAAGAACGTTAACTACATTCTTTTATCTCTTAGACACCAGTTTGCAGCTTAAGACAAAGCTAAAACCGAAAGTGTAAATTACAAGTGGATCAAAAGATTTACATAATGACACAAGTTATTTTATATATTAAGATTTGAATGATTTATTTTTGTTCCCAAGTAAATATTTTTCACTGACAATGGTGAACTTAAAATATAGTCTTTTAAACCTATTTTATTACTATTTAGTGTTGTCCTTTTGGCATTTTGGTAATTTACATAAAAAATAAGATCAAGCTAACGATTAAGCTGGAAAACTATAGGGACAGTAGTAATTAGCATTGTATTGCCATCATCGTAAATTGGTGATTTGAACAACAAAAAGAGCTCCAAGCTAAACACCATGTAAACAATACCGGTCACTTTAAGATCACAAGGTACATTTGGTGCTTCCAGCACTGCTTCAGGTCTTTAACTACTCCACCTGACCACAGCAGGGGAACTTCACGTAAACTTGTGCCTCTGTGCTAGCTACTGATTTTACTTAGGTGCCTACGAACATTCTTACTCCACAGTACAAAGTGAAATTTTACTTTCAGAATGGTAAATACCGCCCATGTGACATAGTCTTAAAAGAATGTAGCCACATGTATGGTAGTCTGGCTTTATTTTTTTTCTCTCTACAACAGGCATTCAAGAAAAAAAAAAAACAAACCCTCAGACAGGCGGGCCCATTATTTTAATGAAGTACTTACTCGCCTGTTACATGAACAGCTTTTACAAAAAGCATGAGAACTCTGCAGCCCCTGCAAACCAGGTAAACCACCTAAAAGCATTAAAAATTAAAGAAACCCAAACAAACACAAAAAACAAACAAAACAAAAACCCCTAAACAACAGAAAAACCCACCCGAAAACCGGCACCAGCATACGGAACTGGAAATCGTACTTCCAAACCAACTTTCAAAAACCTACTCAAGCGGAAGAAAGCAAGACAGAACAAACAAAACTGCACTATTTCCCCTCCCAATCCCGCAGAAACAAGAGCACCGCCGCAGTTCTTCACCCGGGCTCGGTCTATCGGCCGATGCCTCAGCAGCCGCCCCGGCCCTGCACCGCCAGGCGCTGCGGGCAGCCTCGGCACCGCCGCCGGAGCCCGCCTGACAGGCCGGCTCCGCCGGAATGCTCGCAGCAGCCTACTCCTGTCCACGACAGCACCCTCTGCTACCGGAGAGAGGGGACGGCTCTAAGTTTTCACCCCCACGTTTTGCCTTTTTTTTTTTTTTTTTTTTTTTTTTTTTTTTTTTAAAGGGAGGCAGACACCCGCCCTGGGCACACACGCACACAACACACACTCACTCGCAACAGCCAGACACAGCTGATCCCAGGCCCGTCAGGCTGGCTCCTCCCCGCCCGTCCAGCGGGGCAGAGGTACGGCGCAGTTCCAGCACCTTCTTCACCTCTTCCCCAAACTACTCCCGCGAGTGCCGCCCGCGCAGGGAAAGAAGTCCTGCCCCTCACTCCTCGCCGCAGAGGCAAGCTGGGAGGGAGGGGCGCAGCAGCGCGGCGGCGGCACCCGATGGAAGCACAAGCTGCCGCCGCTTCACGGCCAGCGCGGGAGCGCAGCCCTCGCCCCGCGCACGGGGCCGCGGAGCGCAGCGCACCCCGCCCCGCGCGCGCCTGCACACCTCCGCCCCCCCCCGGCCTCCTGGATGAGTGACAGCTCCCCGGGCCAATAGAACCACCATTTCTACGCAACGGGGCGGGCACTCCTTTCCCGGCGGACCAATGGCAACAACGCTGCCTGAGCAGTGGCGTCCGCGAAGGGGGGGCCGGAGGAGGGGCAGGAGTTTAGGAAGAGGAGGGAATGGCTGTCATCAATGAAGTCATGTTCGTAATCTAGTCCCTCGCTCCGGTTCTGGACTCGGGTGACTCACTGAGGGGGGAGAGGAGCGACAGTCAGCACCGTGCTCCGCCCGGGCGGAAGGTAAATACAACTTGCAACTCGGTCCAACCCCACCAGCTCCCCGTGCCCGGCACCGTCCTTTATTGTCAGCGGCTGTGCCGGCTCGCACCGTGCCCACCTTCCCTCTCTCCATCGCTCCCTTCTCCGCGCACGGCCCCGCCGGTCCCAGCCGCCGCCGTGCCACCTGCTTCTTCTCCCCACCTTCCCCGGCGCCCGGCCCTCCCGAATATTTATATCCCCCAGTGAGTGGAGAGAAGAAAGTTTTGATCCGGTATTATTCTGGAATAATCACGATGCGGATCTCCGGAGTGGGAGCGACAGAACCTCCACGGAGGCGCCGGTGGCTGACTCGTGAGTCAGCGGCACTCTCGGTCTTGCCGCCCAGCGAGCGTGTCACGGGCTGCGGGCGAAGCGGCTACGGGAGAAAAAGATCCTTGGGGAGCGACAGCCCACACAGACGGGCTGTGGGCGGCTCCGCCGCTGCTGCCGGGGGTCGCGGGGTGAAGTTCAGGCTGTCCGGAGGCAGCAGAGCGCGGTGCGGTGGGGCTGTTTCTCCGCCGTGGCACACGCTGGCGCATACCCAGCCGAGCAAGGGGAAGTGGGGAGGCATCGGGAGGGAGGAACATGGTGCAGGGGGGAGCGGTCTCGCCTGCGAGGAGAGTAGCGGCATTCCCCGGGCAGAGCCAGGGAGGCCATGATCCGGATCATCTCGCTGCCTGCCTGTCACAAACACTGCACACACCGGGGAGGGGGAAGAAGCGGGGCTGGGACTTAAGCCCAACAGGGCTGCAGCTCCTGTTGCTTTTCGGTCTCTTGTTTTTAAGTGTGCAGTCACTCCTGCTGTAAAGGTGTCGCGTTTTACTTCCCAAAATAGCTTGCGTGTCGTCGTACTCCTCCCGTTTTCCCTGCAGAAATTCTCCCCCCTCCTCCTCCCCACCTCCAAGCAGAGTAGCACAAAACATGCGCTTACAATTTTGGAATCGCCTGCCGAGCAAAAAAGCGTTTTATTTCCGGTGTGCGCGGAAATTTATTTTTTTTTAACCCGGCCGGGCGGGAGCGAGGATGCACGCGCGCGCGGATGCTCAGGTAGCTGCTGCTCGCCTGCTCCTATGTCGGGAGAGGGGACGGCGGTGTTTGGCACCTGGAAAAGTTCTGTGCCCAGCCGGAGGCGGGGGTGGGCGTCAGAGCGCTGCCGCAGCCAGCTGTCGGGCGGGGCCGGAGGGCAGCGGAGCCCGTCCCCGGGCCGCTGCGGGGCAGAGGCGGGAGGCGGCGGCGGGGGGAGGATAGGAGGGTGGGTGGCCTTTGTCGTCCCTCCGCCTGTGCAAGCGGCGGCGGATCAGGAAGTCACCGCCGCCACACACAGGCGCACAGACATGTTTGGTCGGCGTGACATGGTGGCGGAGGGAAGGGGAGGCGGGGAGACGGGCCCAGCCCAGCCCTGAGGCATGACCCGGCTGGTCGCCCGGCCGCCCGCCTGCCTGCCTGCCTGCCTGCGGCCGAGGTACGGGGCCGTGCGCGGGCAGCGCCGTCAGCAGCGCACCCGCTGCTTTATGGAGGGGCGGGGGCAAGCGGCAGTGGGGCCGCATTTCCAGGCAGGGACGTTTTACAGCCTGTCGGCCGGGGAGAAAACTTTCCAGAAAGGCTGGAGGGGGAAAACAGGGCCGTGCTGGTTGTGCGCGCCCGCCCCGGCGCCTTGGCGGGGGAGGCGGCGGGCGGCCCGGCGCCGAGGCCTGCGTGCCGCCCGTCCTGCAGGGCCCGAGCGCCCGAGGGCAGAGAGCGGTGCCGCCGCGGAGGGAGGCAGGGAGGGAAGGAGGGAGCGGCCGCCCGTGCTCCGCTGCCCCCCGGGGCTCCCGGGTCGCGGGTCCTCCGCCGCGGCTCTTCCTTGTGTCTGCGGTGCGTGCAGAAATGGAGTTTATTATGTTGTCTCCTCCCCTCTTAAATTTATAATGGTGGAACTACAAACTGCGCACGGCTGGAAAAGTTACAGCTCTTCTAAACTCGATCTGAAGTTACAGTTTAACGATTTGCTTGGGTTGTTTTGTGTTTTGTTTTTTGTTTTTCTTTTTCCCTGAGCGTGCGTAAAGTAAAGCGTCAAGTAAAGGGAGTGTAAAAGTGTCTGCAGATTACATACATCGTACCGAATTTGTTTTTTCTTGGTATCTGCTTCTTATGTTTGATATTCAGACTTGCCAAACTTTACGTTAACGCTGTTCTGAATATTTATATGAGTATGAATATGCAAATAAATTACCAGCTGAAGTATTGAAGATAAAAAGTTGTTGGTGGTGGTTTTTCGGTTTTTTGTTTGGTCGGGTTTTTTACGGCTTTTAAGTATTCTGCATGCTTTCAATGAAGAATTGATCTGGGATTTTGTGACACTGCGTTGTCCCGTTTGCATTCTCTCATGTTTTCCTTTAACTTTCTGAAGTGTTAAGTGGTTTTAACAATCCCTAAGACCCAAACGATAAACACTGTCCCAGAATTTAATTCCTTTGGTAGTATACTAGTTACTTGTTCGGGGTGGGGCAGTCTCCTCTGTGGAAGTTACTATTGTTGTGCAAATACGGGCACACTTTCTCTTTGGGAACCTAATTGCCCTATTACTGTCTCTGACTTTGTTTCTTTTGTCCTTTTGTGATTATAAGGAAAAAAAGTAGTGTGCCAGAAGGATAGGCTCGCCTCAAGGCAGTTTTTATATATATATAATCAGTAATAGAAAGCAAAAGACTGCAAAAAGACTGCATGGATAGTAAGCTTTTAAAATTTAGAGTGGATCATACAGCACATGTGGACTTGCCAGAGGTGAGGCTAAATATTAATTAAAAATATTATTTTTCTCACGAGTTATGTCTCAGCTTTAAGACTAGTATTTCTGTGGTGTTGCATGGAACATGTGCCAGAAGAGTGTGTTCAAAGCAGCCTTAGATCTTTTCTTTTGTTCATTTCTGAAGCAGTCTACGAACGTTTCTTGTCAAGTTTAAAAAGTGCTTTCACCAACACCTGAGGCTTGAAAATTGACAAGAGAAGAAGTCCTTCAGCTGGCATACTTATATTACGTACATTCGTGACAAAGGTGTGTTTGAAATTGCTATCTCCGGATGTATTTTTCTCAGTTTTTGTTGGACTTTTGAAGCTAAGGTCAGAATGTGCACAGTAGTGACTTTAAAAATGTGTGCGCTTTACCTCTGTTTTTTGTCGTCCTGATGAGTAATGTTGCTGTGAACTACAAGTTCCTTCCTTTCAGAAGGAAACTTCTCATTCTTTGTATGATTTAGAACATTTTTGCAAATTGCTCATCAAAACGTCTATTACATTTATGTGCATGCAAACATAGTTCTCCATGTGTAATAGGTGTCTTCTGGACCTCCAATACTTTTGGACTTGACAAGATTAGGTTTAGGGGTTTTTTTGATTCTCTAGTGGAATAGTAAGCACAATATTATGGCATAAAGATCCCTTGTCATAAAGTTGACATTTGAGAAAATCTTTAACTGGCATTAGAGAAAAGATGTTATTTCCAAGATAAAATGAAGAAGAGTGAATAAGGGAAGGAAATAAACCTTTCTTAAATACAGCTTTGATAGTTCGTAAATACAGTAGAATAAGAAAACTAACTCTGAAAATTGTTTTCTTTGTTGCTTACACATGTAAAGTCATTACTTACTAGGCATGAACGTTTTCCTCTTTGTCTTCAATTGGCAGAGAATATTTCCTATTTATCACTTCAGAGTTTGAGCAACCAGGTGGATCATTTAGTGGTGGGACATTGGAGAAAATGTTAAAAATAAGTCTGGTTTTACAGAAAATATATGGTTTTTATAGATATTTTCATTGATATTGGTAGTAACTTGTATTTAAAACAATCTTCTCCCTTCTTCCTCCTCTTCTTCCCTGTTTTAAGTAAAGCCAAGGCCTGTCAGTGCATTCCTTTCCTTCTGCCTGTGGGTCCCATGGCTTTTTATTTAGAATCTAATGAGAAGACAATGTTCAATAACTGTGATTAATACCTGTAGTAAAGTTCACAGTATGAAAACTTAATCCATGACTATTCAGCATCATCCTGTATCAGTTTCTTTGCCTGAAATTTACAGTGGAATCTACATGTGTAGCAAACGTGGGATTGATCTTGGACATTGTCTGATGGCAATTAAACTTTTGACTGCAACTATCTGCTCTTCAGTTTTCCTGAAGGCTCCTGTCTTCTGCAGCAAAGCATCAGAAAGGATCATATGTCTGTCCTGTAGTGTCTTCACAGTAGGCTGGCAGCATAGCTTAGCCTAACTTGTGTGCACTCTGATTTGTAATTATGCCTTTTGACAGTCTGGAGTACTTTCAACTCCCAGCTGTTAACAAGTCATTTTTTGCTGCTGATGTTAGTTTTTCCTGAGAGGGTAGGCTGTTAGAGCAGTTGAAAAAAGTTGAACTTTGTGTAAAGCTGAAACATCTATGCAGTAGGCGTAAGAATTTCTACAAGAATATTTCAAGGTGATGAGTACTTACTACCATCCTGGAGTAAATTATCTCTTATACTACATGACTGCACAATGAAGTTTCTGGTGTAAGCATTCCACCTGTTTTGCGAGCTCTGCAGGGATGCCTGCAACGGTTTCTGGTAGAGAGCTAGACAAGCGGCAGGAGTAGTGTTGCTGAGGTTTTTTTCTTCTGGCCTAGGTGTCTGGTAAAGTAATTAAGGTTCAGCGTTTCTGGTTCTGTGGTTTATATTTTAAACTACAGATTCCCTTGCAGGTTTTCAAGTTACACTGGCATATATGAGTATGCAAAGGCTGAATCTCAGCTGTTGGCATATTTGGCTTCTCTTTCATGAACTAATAACTCTGGTATATGTTAGTTGAAGATTTGAGTCTTCTCACTGATTTTTTGTTGTTTCATGTAAACCTATTTATTGACTGAGCTGTCATTTAATCAAATGACAATAGTTAAATAGTTAAATCATGATAAAAGGTAATGAAGAGTGTCCTATGAAGTTGTACAATACAAAACACTGCTTTGCTTCTAAGTAT